TCACCATGTTGGTCAAGCTAGTCTCAAACCCCTGACCTCGTGATCCACCCTCCTCAGCCTCCCAAAGTGCTGGGATTACAGGCATGAGCCACCATGCCTGGCTAACTTTAGTATTTTGTATACAAAAGAGGGGCAGCCCCTTTAGGCTCAGCAAGGCCCCAGATGTCAGAGCATCGACAATACCAAAAATAAGAACATGTAGTTAATAGAAAATGGGTCTTAGAGTTTTGCCATGTTGGCCAGGCTGGTCTCTAACTCCTGACCTCAGGTGATCCACCCGCCTTGGCCTCCCAAAGTGCTGAGATTACAGGCGTGAGCCACCATCCCCAGCCTATTTTTTCTTCTGTTACTAGAGACGGCTTTAAAAAAAATAATAATAAGAGTTTGACAAACTAATTCCAAAAAATCATAGAAATTCAAATATCTAAAATAGCCAGAAATATTTTGAAGGAAAAAAAGAGTAAAATTGGGGCTTTATACTGAATGATTTTAAGATTTACTAGAAAGACACCGTGGATGTGACGGAGTGGTATTGGTAGAAGAATAGACACAAAGATCAACGGAACAGAATAAAAAGTTGAGAAATAACTATATGGTCGATTAATGTTTGATGACTACCAACGTAATTCAATGTGGAAAGGATAGTCTTGTTTGAAAAAGAAACAACTGGATATTTATACGCAAAAATAAACTTGACTTTTACTTCACATCATAAAAATATGTAACTCAGAATCGATCTTAGATGTAGATGTAAGAACTAAAACTATGAAATAATTAAAACAGAGGTGATCATACTATTTCTTAAAGGGTGAGGTGCCAGAGGATTAGGCTTCTGTGCCATGCGGTCTCTGTCATGTCTGCTTAACTCTGTCATAGCACAGAAGCAGCCGAAAACATGACAAAAATGAAGGGTATGGCGGTGTTCCAGCAAAACCTTATTTAGAAAAACAAGCTGCTGGCCCGCAGGCCATAGCTTGGTGACCTCTGTTCTAGAAGAAAACATACAGAAAATCTTTGTGAGGTTGTGTTAGGCAAAGATTTCTCAGAAGCGAGTTCTAATCGTACTTGAGGTTTGTTTTAATTGGGTATGGTAAGACATACAGATATGAAAATAATAGCTATGAAGGAAAAGTTTTTTGTTATACTCACAGTCCCTAGAGACGGGAGGCATGGAACTCCATGCAGGCCCACGTGGAGAAGTACTCAGGCGAGACAGCAGGCGAGGGCGATGGGAGCTGTGGGCAGGGCCTTTATCGTGGTTTTCACAGGAGGAAATAGAATGAGGCAAGATAAGCAGGCTAGTCAGGGTTAGGATTGGGCAGTTTGAACAATTTGGTGGCTCTCAGCCACAGACAGGTACTGTCCATAGTGGTCTGGTACCAGGTTCTGGGGTGACTAGGGCAGGTAGATAATGGTCCAGAGTATGGGAACCCACTAAGGGAAGCGGTTGGGGGTGTGAGCGCTGGGTTTATCGGTTTGCATATGAAAGGCATGCTTGCAGGCATGTTCTTTGCTCTCTCTGGGAATTAGCTTACTCTGCCTGGGAGGGACAGCCCCTTTTGGCTCAGAAAGGCCCCAGACGTCAGAGCATCGACAATACCAAAAATAAGAACCCGTAGTTAATACAAATGACTCTAAAAGCACAATTCATTAAAAAAAAAAAAAAAAAGCAATCAATAAATGGGTCATCATGAAACTTTGAAACTTTTGCTCTTCAAAGTACACTGTTGGCCTGGCACAGTGGCTCATTCCTGTAATTCCAGCACTTTGGGAGACTGAGGCAGGGGGATCACTTGAGCCCAAATATAGCAAAAGCCCAATCTCTACAGAAAAAAAGAAAAAAAAAAAAAAAAAAGCCAGGCAAGGTAGCATGTGCCTGTAGTCCTAGCTACTTGGGAGGCTGAGGTGGGAGGATGGCTTGAGCCCAGGAGTTTGAGGCTGCAGTGAGCTATGATCTTACCACTGCACTCCAGCCTGGGCAACAGGGTGAGACTTTGTTTTAAAAAAAAAAAAAAAAAAAGTACACTGTTAAGAAAACAAAAAAGCAAGCCAAAGAATGGGAGAAAATATTTGCAAAATATGTATCTGTTAAAGGAGTTGTATTCTGAATATATAAAGAACTATTACAATTCAGAAATCAGAAGCCAAACTAATTTTAAAAATTTTAGGCTGGGCATGGTGGCTCACACCTGTAATCCCAGCACTTTGGGAGGCCGAGGCAGGCGGATCACGAGGTCAGGAGTTCAAGACCAGCCTGGCCGACATAGTGAAACCCTGTCTCTACTAAAAATACTATCTGGGCATAGTGGTGTGCGCCTGTAGTCCCAGCTATTCAGGAGGCTAAGGCAGGCGAATTGCTTGAACTCAGGAGGCGGAGGTTGCAGTGAGCCGAGATTGTGCTACTGCACTCCAGCCTGCTGCCTGGCAACAGAGTGAGACTCTGTCTCAAAAAAATATATGTTTTTAATACTTCAAAAGTGTTGGGGAGAAATGAAATATTTGAATAGACACTTCACCAAAGAAAATATACAAATGGCTAAAGAAATCAACATCATTCATCATTGAGAAAATACAAATCATGGCCAGAGGTGGTGGCTCACGCCTATAATTCCAGCACTTTGAGAGGCCAAGGTGAGTGGACCACCTGAGGTCAGGAGTTTGAGATCATCCTGGCCAACCTGGTGAAACCCTGTCTCTACCACAAATACAAAAATTAGATGGGTGTGGTGGCGGGTGCCTGTAATCCCAGCTACTTGGGAGACTGAGGCAAGAGAATTGCTTGAACCTGGAAGGCGGAGGGTGCAGTGAGCCAAGATCACGCCATTGCACTCCAGCCTGGGTGACAGAGCGAGACTCTGTCTCAAAAAAAAAAAAAAAAAAAAGAAAAGAAAAGAAAAAAAGAAAATCAGATTGCATGCAGTGGCTCATGCCTGTAATCCTAGCACTTTGGGAGACAAAGGTGGGAGGAGAGTTTAAGTCCAGGAGTTCAAGACTAGCCTGGGCAACATAATGAGACCTTGTCTCTATTAAAACAAACACACATCAAAGAGATTAGCTGGGCATGGTGATGTGCACACATCTGTAGTCCCAGCTGCATGGAAGACTGAGGTGGGAGGATAGCTTGAGCCTAGAATGTTGAGGCAATCTCAGTGGGCTCTGATCACAGCACTGCACTCTAGACTGGGAAACAGAGTAAGACCCTGGCTCAAAAAAAAAGAAAGAAAGAAAAGAAAATGCAATTTGAAATCACAATGAAATACATCTACATATCCACTAAAAAATGGCTAAAATGAAAAAGACGGATAGCATTGGCAAGGACGTGGAGCCGCCGGAACTCCCACAGACTGCTGCTGGGAATGGGCAATGATACACTCACTTTGGAAAACAGCTTGGCAATTTCTCAAATATTTCAATATACATCACCCATACAGCCGAGCCATCCTACACCTAAATATTTACCCAAGAGAAATGAAAACATGTATTCACATAAACATTCATAGCAGCTTTATTTGTGATAGCTAAAAACTGGAAATCACCCAAATGTCCATCAACTTGTGACTGGATAACGAATGTTTGTATAGCCGTAAAATGCTCATCAGCAATTAAAAACAAGAATTAACTGCACATATGTGTAGCAACATGGGTGAATCTCAAAGCAACATGCTTTTTTTTAGCCAAAAAATTAATTGTATTGAGTAAAGAAGTTTGTTCAGAGCTTACACAGATCCTAAGAATACTTTAGATCATAACAGCTGGAAAGCTCAGGAACTGACTGGAAAGAAGAAAGGAAGCAGTTTCTATTTTCAATGTAGAAAAAAAAAATCTAGTTGCTACAGATGTCTTTTAAAATTCCCTAAACAAGGTCTAGCCAAATTTATTGTTTGGTGATTTTTTCTTTTTACAAAAGGAAAAAAGCAAGACTCAACGTGTGTACTACTGGTTACAACTAATATAACAGCTTGAAAAAATCATGAGATAAAAGCATAAATATAAAAGGACAAAAGTTTAAAATTGTATTATAAGAATGTAACTATAATAAATGGCAAAGATACATTAAAACCATCAGTGTGTTATACTCATTCAAAACAAAACTCATAAGGCAGACCAAAACTGATGCAAGTTAAGGAAGTCTGTTTTTAGGATGCATGCCCAGACAGACACCACGAAAAATGCCAACCGAGACTGTGTGGTCCCCTCTTGTTACAAGTAACATTTCAAAGGTGGAGTGACTGGGTTAGCAGCCTAAGCTTTCTCCAAGAATTTATAGTATTCCATCAGCACAGTCCAAGCCTTGGGAGCCATGAAACCTTCAGGTGATTTCTGGCCTTCTCGGGCAAGTTTCTGCATTCATGTTCCTGAAATAAATTCCAAGTCTTCATGGTGTTCAGAGTCATCGGAGTCCATACACTCCTTTTTCTTGTTGTAAGCTGCAACTCGAAAGGGAACTATTTCCAAAGTGATTAAACCAGGGGCCATCGTCAGCCCTTTGGCCTCATGACTTGGCTCATAAAGATCCTTCTTGTTTCTGGATGAGGCATGCCAGCAGGGTCTCGTCCAACAATGTAAACGTTGGCTCCCGCAACCATCTGTGCTCTGCAATGCCACCGGACCTCAGCTGGTCCGGCGTACATCGTAGGAGATGGGAAGATGGCCACCACTGTCGTCTCAGGATTCAGGACTCCTTCCTCCGCACTACAGCATGCTGCTTCAAATGCCACAACGAAAGAACATCGTCATCCTTTGTCCAGCTACCCAGAGAGTGAAGGAGGAGGATGGGGCACCGGTAGCCCCTCTCTAGAAGTGTGCTTATGGGTATCCTGCATTCACAGGGCATGTCCATTGTGCACTGGGTTGTGTAACTGAAATGCAAAGACAGCATCAGCATTCATATCTTTAAATTTATGCTTTAGCTCAGCAGGAGTAAGATGATACTGATCAAGACCATCATTGCAATAAACTTGGTCCAAGACTTGAAGATCTCCAATCAACCAATCTCCTTGTCCCATAACCATCTTGATGTGGGGGTGGTTCTTGCATGTTGTTCCCCACTGTCTGGCACAGCGCTCCTCTTTCCTGTGCTCATAAAACTCTGGATTGTGAAGAATGGCCACATGGCGTCCTCATTCATCAGAGTAAATGCTGTCCAGCCGTCCAGCCTCTCTTTATCTTCATGAGTAGCAGAACTTGTCAGAACTATAGGTCCTGACAAGTTGACGACACCACCATCCAGAAGACAATCAAAATGAAGGTACTGCCATGACTCCCTCTCTCTCATAAAGCCATTCAATGGGCTTGCCCAACCTTCTGTCAAAACCTGCATCCACTGCATATCCACTTCATTAATTTTCAGTGCTGGTAATGTTTCTGCATCTGTTTTTGCCAAATGAAGTTTATTTTCTGGCACATACGGTTATTTTACTTCATAAGATGCATCTACAGGTACAACACCTCGTTCCTGTAGAAGTTTCACCACTTGCTGGACCCAGTCATTGACATCACAGGAGTCTTGATGGCATCAAAACATCACAGTGTTTTCAGCACCAATTCAGGGGCCTCTGGCTTTTCATATTCAGAATCGATCCCAGTGAAACCTTTAATTTCTCCTGCCTGGGCTTTTTTTTTTTTTTTTTTTTTTTTGAGACGGAGTTTCGCCCTTGTTACCCAGGCTGGAATGCAATGGCGCGATCTCGGCTCACCGCAACCTCTGCCTCCTGGGTTCAGGCAATTCTCCCGCCTCAGCCTCCTGAGTAGCTGGGATTACAGGTACGCGTCACCATGCCCAGCTAATTTTTTGTATTTTTAGTAGAGACGGGGTTTCACTGTGTTGACCAGGATGGTCTCGATCTCTTGACCTCGTGATCTGCCCGCCTCAGCCTCCCAAAGTGCTGGGATTGGCCAGGCGCGGTGGCTCAAGCCTGTAATCCCAGCACTTTGGGAGGCCGAGGCGGATGGATCACGAGGTCAAGAGATCGAGACCATCCTGGTCAACACGGTGAAACCCCGTCTCTACTAAAAATACAAAAAATTAGCTGGGCATGGTGGCGCGTGCCTGTAATCCCAGTTACTCAGGAGGCTGAGGCAGGAGAATTGCCTGAACCCAGGAGGCGGAGGTTGCGGTGAGCCGAGATCGTGCCATTGCACTCCAGCCTGGGTAACAAGAGGGAAACTCCGTCTCAAAACAAAAAACAAAAAACAAAAAACAAAGTGCTGGGATTACAGGCTTGAGCCACCGCGCCCGGCCTGCCTGGGCTTTTTTGTAGAGTCCTTTGACATCCCTCTATTCACAAACATGCAGAGGAGCATCAACAAATACTTCAAAAAACGGGAAACTTGCACCCTCATGAATCTGCCTTGCATCATTGCCATCTGAGAATAAGGTGATATAAAACTGTGATGCACACTAAGCCAGCACCTGCAAATAGTCTTGTAACTTCTGCTATGTGTCGAACATTCTCTTCTCTGTCCTCAAGACTAAAGCCAAGATTTTTATTGAGACCGTGACGAATATTGCCAGCCCAGAGTGTAGCATGGAATACCACGGCCAACCAGGTACTCTTCAAAGCCATGCTCACCGTAGTCTTTCCTGCCCCAGTCAAGCCTGTTAGCTAAACTGTGCAGCCACGAAAGGCACCTCTGGTCCCCCAACCTGACCTTTCTTGTTCCTGCTGATTTGATGGGCTTGGTGGGTGACATTAGTTGCTCTCTGCGTTCTCTGCACGTTATTGCTCAGCTTGACTTTCTTGCACAGGCTCCCGGGGATCTCCATGACCGCGGAGCCTGCAGGGCATCTGGGATTCTCTGCGCAGGAGGAGGGCAGGCGGGCAAGTGGGGCGGGGCTCAGCAGTATACTAACGGAAAGAAGTCAGACACAAAAGACCACATACTGTGAGATTCCATTCATACGAAATTCTAGAAGCAAAATGATAGCAACAGAAAGCGGATCCGTGGCTGGCAGGGCTAGGTTGGAGGAGAGGGAGTGACTGTAAGTGAGGGATCTTGTAGAGGTTTTATCTCTTGTTTCCTATCATGATTCTGGTGCTGGTTACAAAACTGTCCACATTTGTTAAAATGTAGCAAATCACGTGCTAAAGGTTGAATTTTATTGTGTGTAAATTGTACCTCCATAAAGCTGATTTAAGAAAAGAAAGAAGGCTGGGCACAGTGGCTCACACCTGTAATCCCAGTACTTTGGAAGGCTAAGGCGGGTGGATCACCCGAGGTCAAGAGTTCGAGACCCGCCTGGCCAACATGGTAAAACCCTGTCTCTACTAAAAATATAAAAAATTAGCCAGGCATTGTGGTGCACATCTGCAGTCCCAGCTACTTGAGAGGCTGAGGCAGGAGAATCACTTGAACCTGGGAGGCGAAAGTTTCAGTGAGCCTAGTTGACACCACTGCACTCCAGCCTAGGTGACCGAGTGAGCCTCTGTCTCAAAAATAAATAAATAAATAAAAGACAAGAGACAAAAGAAGGCCGGGCGTCGTGACTCACGCCTACAATCCCAGCACTTTGGGAGGCCGAGGTGGGTAGATCATCTGAGGTCAGGAGTTTGAGACCAGCCTTACCAACATGGAGACATCTGTCTCTACGAAAAATACAAAATAGCCAGGTGTGGGGTGGCACGTGCCTGTAATGCCAGGTACTTGGTAGGCTGAGGCAGGAGAATCGCTTGAACTCAGGAGGCAGAGGTTGTGGTGAGCTGAAATCGCGCCATTGCACTCCAGCCTGGGCAATAAGAGTGAAACTCCGTCTCTAAAGAATAAAGAAAGAGAGAAAGACAGAGAGCGAGAGAGAGAGAAGGAAGGAAGGAAGGAAGGGAGGGAGGGAGGGAGGAAGGGAGGGAGTGAAAGAAAGAGAAAGAAAAGAACAAAAAGGAAGGCTCCCACAGGGAAGCAGAAAAGAGAAGGCAGCGAGGCAGAATCTGAACTGGACGGATTATGTAAGTGTTCTATTTCCACACACCTGTAAGATAAGGATAACAATATCTAGCTCTCAGTAAATGTCAAGTTTCTGTCTCCTTTCCTTTCTTTTCTCCAGACTGTTAGTCTGAGCCAGCTATAAACCAAGACTGTCACTGATGGGTAGGGACCTCTCCCCTGAGGTCTTCAGATGGAAATCATGTTTCTCTAAAGGGGCAATCTCTAGATGTGAAGACTCCCATATGTGTCAAAATGTTCAATGTGCCAACCCTTTCTGCTTCTGTAAACCCATGTGTAGAAAGGCTGACGAAAAAAAAAAAGTGCAAAAAATATGTAGAATGAAATACATTGCTGCTTTGGCCAGGCACAGTGGCTCATGCCTGCACTTTGGGAGGATGAGGTGGGCCGATCACAAGAGGTCAGGAGTTCAAGACCAGCCTAGCCAATATGATAAAACCCTGTCTCTACCAAAAATATCAAAATTAGCTGGGTGTGGTGGCAGGTGCCTGTAATCCCAGCTACTAAGGAGGCTGAGGAAGGAGAATCTCTTAAATCCAGAAGGCAGAGGTTGCTGTGAGCTGAGATCATCCCACTGCACTCCAGCCTGGGCAACAGAGCATGACTCTGACCCAATAAATAAATAAATAAATAAATAAGTACATTGCTACTTTGTTTGCAATAACAAAACTTGGAGACAACCTCAATGTCCATCCATCAGTAAGTTTTGGCTAAGTGAATTCAGAGATTTCCATTTTCTGGTTGGGTGCAGTGGCTCACGCCTATAATCCCAGCACTTTGAGAGGCTGATGTGGGCAGATCTGCTGAGATCAGGAGTTTGAGACCAGCCTGGCCAACATGGCAACACCCCGTCTCTACTAAAAATACAAAATTAGCCAGGCATGGTGGCACGTGCCTGTCATCCCAGCTACTCAGGAGGCTGAGGCAGGAGAATTGATAGAACCCCGTAGGTGGAGGTTGAGTGAGCCAAGATGGTGCTACTGCACTCCATCCTGGGTGACAGTGAGACTCGGTCTCAAAAAAAAAGGAGGAGGCTGGGCACAGTGGTTATCTATAAATTGCATTTCAGGCACAGCTGAAGGAAGTAAGTTTTACAAGGAGCCTACAAGTTTGGTTATTTTGTAATGCTACAAAAGGGATTTTAAGTCCTTAAAATGTACTGTTAACAAAGTTAAGGTTACTTTGCACCTAAAACATAAAGGCTTAGAAAATTTTGCCTCACCGAAGTTCCAGTACTTGTAACCATTTTATGTAGGCACTCTGTAAGCCCTCCCGCCATTGGTTTCCCCCAACATGGTCCCAGCTACTCAGAAGGCTGTGAGGCAGGAGAATCGCTTGAGCCTAGAAGGCAGAGATTTCAATGAGCTGAGATGGTGTCACCGCACTCCAGCCTGGTGACAGAGTGAGACTCCGTCCCCCAAAGAGATTTCTATTTCCTGGAATATAAGAGAGCTGATGGACAACATAAACCAGATCTATGTACAGGAACTGAGGGAACAGCGCCCAATACATTGCTCAATGAAAAACCCATGTGTGTATCAACACATACAAAATAATCCCACTAAAGAAAAAGAGTGTGTGGCAGAGATCGCCAGCTGTTCCCCATGATCTTTTCTTTGATTTAGGAGAAGAAGTCTGCCCCCTCCAGCCCTGTTTTAAGTGGCGGGCTTGGGTGGGTGTAAAGGGTCAGGGGCAAGGTGGCTGAATCCGACACGTAAGTGGGCGGTCCTCACCTCCCTTTTAGGCAGCTTTGGCAAAAGGTCTAAATTCTGACCACAGGGATGTGAGCAGAAGTGATAAATGCAATGAAGGGGCATAACCTTCAAAAGGAAGAGAGTTTTTGTTCATGTCCTCTGTCCCCTTTCTCCAGGGGGACCCTGGAGATAATGCTTTGATGTAGACAAGGTTTCCCTGCTACAGGATGAATCTTCATGCAACAGAGGCAACTGCCTGCCTTGTCCCGCTCCTCTAACAGCTTCTAGAAAGAGAAATTAACTTTTCTCTGGTTTGAGTCACTGTAATCTGGGGACTGTTAACAGCTGCAAATCTCATACTGTAAGTAGTACAATGTACCTTTACAGCATTACCTTTGCTAATAATGACAGTGTACCGACATCTAGTGCTTGTTCTGTGCCAAGCACTTTACATAAATAACTCGTTTAAAGCCCACAACCCTGGGAGGCCAGTACCATAATTGTGCCCATTTTACAGATGAGAAAACTGAGACATGAGGAGGTCAAGTAATATGAAAGGTCACACTGCTAGGAGAAGTGGCAGAGCTGGGGCAGGCTTCCAGGTGGTCTGACTCCAGCGTCTGTTCTTAACCACTGCTTGCATCAGGAGCAGAAAATCAAACACTGCATGTTCTCACTCATAGGCGGGTGTTGAACAATGAGAACACATGGACACAGGGAGGGGAGCATCACACACTGGGGTCTGTTGGAGGGAAACGGGAGAGACAGCGGGGGTGGGGAGTTGAGGGGGGATGGCATGGGGAGAAATGCCAGATGTAGGCGAGGGGAAGGAAGGCAGCAAATCACACTGCCACGTGTGTACCTATGCAACTATCTTGCATGTTCTTCACAGGTACCCCAAAAACCTAAAATGCAATTAAAAAAAAAAATAGAAGAAAAGAAAACCATTCTGGAGATACAGATCCCAAATTACATCTGGAGTATGGGATATAGGAAAGGGAGAGAAGAAACTTTCTTTTTTACATTATACTTCTCTGTTTGAATTTTTTATAAAAGTCAGGCATTACTTCTATAGTTTTTAAAAAGGGAAAAATTGTAAAAGTCAAGCTATTTAACTGGAAAATAAATGTAATAGGGAGTGGTAACATTCGTTTAAAATATAACCGAGGCTGGGCATGGTGGCTCACACCTGTAATCCCAGCACTTTGGGAGGCTGAGGTGGGTGGATCACTTGAGGTCAGGAGTTCGAGACCAGTCTGGCCAGCATGGCGAAACCCCATCTCTACTAAAAATACAAAAATTAGCCAGGTGTGGTGGTGCACACCTGTAATCCCAGCTACTTGAGGGGCTGAGGCAGGAGAACCGCTGGAACCCAGGAGTGGGAGGTTGCAGTGAACTGAGATCACACCATTGCACTGCAGCCTGGGCGACGAGGGCAAAACTCTGTCTAAAAAAAAAAAAAAATATATATATATATATATATATTTTTTTAATGTTTATTTTTTATATATGTATATAAAATAAACACGTATACCTGAAAAAAATAATAAAAACATATAACTGAAAACAATTCCCTTCTCAGGCCTAGTTGCTCACCTGGCCTCTCAGAGAGGAGAGCTGTTCCCCAGTGAGCCTGATTCTCTAACGAGACAGAGTGAAGAGCTGAAAACACTTCGCAGACGGACCACACCACCCGTTGAACACGTTTCTCATTTTTCATCATTTGTTTTGTAATCATGTATCTTCAGTGTAAACCCAGAAAGAGGGAAAAAATACCTCAGTCAACCACTCATCCCTTGATAGGGTCTCAGGCACACAGCCTGTCTTGCTTTTGTAAATATTTAGCCCTGTAGTTCCTGGAAGAAGATAAGTGCTTGCCTCTCCTAAACCTCCCTGTGGATGACAGCTCCACGGAGCATGCGTTCTGAGCCAAAACATACCATATTTGGTCTGAAATGAGTGGACCGCTGACTGTTTTAGTTGCAGGTCTTTTAACTGGAACGAAGGATATTTGGTCCATACAGTTACCATCCGCAAGAATACACGGACTCAGGGGTTTCTGCCCACTTCTGAACCTGCAAAGCTTCATGACTGAGAAGGAAGGCGTGTGCATGACATGGAACTGTATTCCAGCCTGAGCCCGCATGGTTTTATTGTTGTTTTGTTTTGTTTTTGAGTTGGAGTCTCACTCTGTTGCCCAGGCTAGAGTGCAATGGCACAGTCTTGGCTCCCTGCAACCTCCGCCTCCCAGGTTCAAGATTCTCCTGCCTCAGCCTCCCTAGTAGCTGGGACTACAGGTGCCCGCTACCGTGCCCAACTAATTGTAAGCCGGCATGTTTTAAGTGTAAAGGGGCAAAGGGTGTTTTGCACTTCAGCTAGGCTACTTGAAGAAAGTGAGATCTCAGCCAGGCATGTTGGCTCATGCCTGTAATCCCAGCACTTTGGGAGGCTGAGGTGGGTGGATCACCTGAGGTCAGGGGTTCCAGACCAGCCTTGCCATTCATGGTGACATCTCCTCTCTACTAAAAATACAAAAATTAGCTGGGCATGGTGGCACATGCCTGTAATCCCAGCTATTCGGGAGGCTGAGACACAAGAATCACTTGAACCGGGGAGGCAGAGGTTGCAGTGAGCCAAGATTGCACCACTGTGCTCCAGCCTGGGTGACAGAGCGAGACTCTGTCTCAAAAAAAAAAACAAAAAAAAAAAAGAAAAGAAAAAAAGAAAGAAAGAAGATCTGATCTGATCTGAACAAGTTTTAGGATAAACAAACAAAAAAGCCACCCGCAATACAATTACCCCCTTTTTTAAAAAAGTGATGCATTCGTACAGATGTTATAATCATTTTTTTACTAATTTTGTTTTGTTTTGTTTTAAGATATGGTCTCACTGTGTCGCCCGGGCTGGAGTACAGTGGCACGACCAAGACTCACTGCAGCCTCAGCTTCCCAGGCTCAGGAGATCCTCCCACCTCAGCCTCCCATGTAGCTGGGACTACAAGCAGGCGACATTATGCCCGGATAATTTTTAAAATTATTTTTCATCGAGGAGCAGTCGCAGTGCATTGTCCAGGCTGGTCTCAAGTGCCCGGCCTCAGGTGATTCTCCTGCCTGGACCTCCTGAGCCCCCTGCACGATCACCTCCTTGATATCGTCTGTGGACTAATGTTATCTGGGCAAACGTAGACTACCTTTTGCAGGAAATAATTGTAAATGACCTTTGTTTTATGTATTTATTTAATTTTTTTGAGACAGGGTTTCACGCTGTTCCCTGGGCTGAAATGCAGTCCCAGGCTTACTGCAGCCTTGACCTCCTGGGCTCAAGTGATCCTCCCACCTCGGCCTCCTGAAATGATCTTTGTTTTAAACACATCCCTGCAGAACTGATATTTCAGGAACTATCTGAACACTGAGACAAATGACTGGGTGCCCCCTGAAGTCCCCGATGTTAATAGCACAAGGAAGCTGTTTTGTTATCGAGTTGGCTCGTGTCTGAGTCATTTTCATGAAATAAACTTTGCTTTGAACAGGGTGGTATCTGTTCAACATCAGTTCAGTTTGGTAAGCATTTATTTTTTGAGATGGAGTTTCACTCTTGTTGCTTAGGCTAGAGTACAGTGGTGTAATCTTGGCTCACTGCAACCTCCGCCTCCTGGGTTCAAGAGATTCTCCTGCCTTAAGACTCCTGAGTTGCTGGGATTACAGGTACCCACCACTAGACCCCGCCAATTTTTTGTATTTTTAGTAGAGATGGGGTTTCATCATGTTGGCCAGGCTGGTCTCGAACTCTTGACCTCAGGTGATCCACCCACCTTGGCCTCCCAAAGTGCTGGGATTACAGGCATGAGCCACCTTGCCTGGCTTGGTAAGCATTTCGTGAGCATCTACTATGTACTTATTTTGTGTGGGGACCTACAGTAAACAAGGAACTCAGAGTCTAGTGGAGAAAGAAGGAGATATTTAAAAATCAACACAATGATGAAGATAGAAAAGTGATAACATTTTTATCCCCCAGGCTTTCTGAGGGGCAGTGGTGTGGTGTGCAAAGCTTCGGGCAGAAGCAGAGCCTGGGGTCTCCGTGATGGAAGCCCACTCCCCTCCAGCCCCGGCCCGAGCAGCCTGGAGAAAAGATGTAGGTCGGCCCATTCCCAGCCCACCCTCAGTTCCCACCTGGTCCCTGGATGCCAGGACTCTGGACTCACTGCATTCCCGGCCCTAGCTTCTGTGGTTACTACTGGCAATGGCACACCAGGAGCCCTGGGACTCTGGCTGTGCAGCAAGGTCTAGATTGCAAAGATGCCTGAAACCAGAGGGGGAAACCAGAGAAGAATTCATCAAAATGATTAAAATTGCAAGAAACAGGGGAAGGGAAAGTGATACTGTTTGCTATGGTCTGAATGTGCCCCCCCCTCCATATGTTGAAAATGTAATCCCCAATGCAATAATGTGGGGAGGTAGCTCCTAGTGGAGGTGCTTAACTCTGCCCTCATGAATGGATTCATGCCACCATAAAAAAGGCTTGTGGCCGGGTATGCGGGCTCACACCTGTAAGCGTTGTACTCTGGGAGGCTGAGGCACGTGGTTCACTTGAGGCCAGGAGTTTGAGACACGCCAGGCCAACATGGCCAAACCCTGTCTCTATTAAAAGTACAAACATTAGCCAGGCATGGTGGTGGGTGCCTGTAATCCCAGCTAATCAGGAGGCTGAGGCAGGAGAATCACTTGCACCTGAGGGGTGGAGATGGCAGTGAGCTGAGATCATGCCACTGCACTTCAGCCTGGGCAATAGAGGGAGACTCTGTTCCAAGAAAAAAGGGGGGTGGGGGGTGCTTGTGGGCGTGGGCTTTCTCTCTTCTGCTCTTCCACCATATAAGGACAAAGCATTCACCCTCTCCTGCCCTTCCACCTTCTGCCATATGAGGACACAGAAAGAAGCCCCACACCAGATGCTGGTGCCTTGATCTTGGACTTCCCAGCCTCCAGAATCGTGAAAAATACATTTCTGTTGTTTATATATTATCCAGTCTCGGGTATTCTGTTGTAGCAACATAAAACAGACTAAGACACCATTCTAAGGCATGAGTGAGCAATTCTGTCTTCTTAGGTGCAGGAAAAACAAAGGAAACTCAAGAGAGGAAGTGATAACTGAGCAGAGATTTGAGAGTTGAGTAGATTACATAAAGGCTAAGAGGAGGAGGACATCCAGGCAGAAGGGACAGACTGGGACAAGGAGGCATGAGACAGAACAAGGCTCCGGAACCTGTGAGTGGGGCAGGAGTGTGAGGTAGGGGGGTGAAGGGCTGGCAAGGTCTCTCCCACCCCTTTAGGGAGCCTAGGATGGCTCCACGGGCCAGAGGCCCCTTGTAAGCACAGTCCTGGGGCCAGCTGTGGTCTATGACAAAGTTTTCATCCGTCTGTGGTAAAACTGTTAAAGATTACATATATTATAATTGCATATTATTGTATAACATAATTACATATGCATATAATCGGACATTACATCTAAAATTATACAGATGTATATAATTTATCTAAAGCAAATTTTTCATGGAATGAACCTTATTCAATGTAAAAGACTCTCTTTGGTTCTGACACTATGCCATTCCTGCATTTTGATGTTTAAACATCTGTTCATTAATCAGATGATTCTGACAATAAAAAGCTGGGCATTCTACGTCAGTGCTACGTTGGCTGCTGGAGTTCCAATGACCACATCTGCATCCCAGGCAGCAGATGAAGAAAAGAAGAAATTCCCAGAAGTCGCTCACTAGGTAAGTACAGAGGATACTCCAGGTGCATCTTTGAACAAACTGTTTATGTCACAGCATCTGATGGTTTCCAAATTTGTTGGCATGTTTTCTACACCAGATCTTTTCCCACTTGGCCCTTCAGCTATTAGTCGGACATGTGACAAGGTGCCGTACAAGTTTCTTCCGGCATTAGAATGGAGAGAGGGTGGAAAGGCCCTTCTTTTATCTGTTTGCATTGTCTGGGTTTACATTTGGTTTATCCTCATAGCTTTGTTCCTGGATAAGGAATGGCTGGTTTGTAATCAGGATTAAATGGGCTGCAACCAGAAAACAGACAGCTCAGTTCTGACCTCCAGGAGATCTTCAGCTTCCATCAAAGATTCTCCCTCTAGGGTGCTTATCAGATTCTCTTTCAAATTTCAATTTACATTTCCCTCCCCACCCCTCCTTGGACCCTGGCACAGGCTCAGGCTTATCAGAATTTTCAAAAAGTAATTCTGAGGCACGATGTCCCCCTCTCTCATCCCTCCTGACTCCCCACCTTTCAGTCTACTCGCTGAGAATGACTGTTCTGGAAGACAGCTCATCCCTTGCCCTGATAGAGTTTTTTGAAAGCTGAAGAGGCTACCTGGACAGGAGACGTCAGGTTATTCAAATGCAAGTATCTCCAACTCTGGGTGCAGCAACCTCTTCAGACAAAGACAGAACGTTCACTGTGGATCTGGGTCACTGTTTCACAGCTCTGCCGTGGAAAGAACTCTGTATTTGAAGAGCTGGCATTGCCTCTGGCTGACTGAGTGTCCTTGAGCAAGGCAATTACTCTGAGTCTCAGTGTCCTCATCTGTAAAAGAGACAAAGATACTCCTGCAGATTACACGAGATTGCAGAGATATGTTTGCAGACTAGATGAGGTGTTGTTACTACCACTGGTACAAGAGGGTGAAGGCAAGGGAGAAACGAATTGTACAGGGCAGGGGATTGGGGAAGGATTTTTGCGGAAGCGGGTTTGGAGCTGGACCTGAAGGAAGGTGGAAAGGCATGCCTCTTATATCTTTGGTGTTGGTGGTGATTTGCCCACGTCCTACCTCTCGGGACTCCCCTTGCCCACATTCCCAAAAACAGCAATACGATCAAAGGCCATCAAAATGTTCATGGCCTATCACCCAGCAATCCCACTGTAGGGAAGAGGATTTGAGGAAAGAAGCCCTACAAAAAGCAATATTCACTCCTGATGCTTTTTAAAAATAGCCAAAAATGGTTGGGCATGATGGCTCACATCTGTAATCCCAGCATTTTGGGAGGCCAAGGCGGGTGGGGAGGTCAGAAGTTCGAGACCAGCCTGGCCAACATGGTGAAACCTTGTCTCTACTAAAAACACAAAAATTAGCCAGGTGTGGTGGTGCGTGCCTGTAGTTCCAACTACTCGGAAGGCTGAGTCAGGAGAATCACTTGAATCCAGGAGGTGGAGGTTGCAGTGAGCCAAGATCTTGTCACTGCACTCCAGCCTGGTGACAGAGCAAGACTCCATCTCAAAAAAAAAAAAAATAAAATAAAATACTGTTTCAAAAATAGCTCTGGAGAGAAAACATTTAGAAGAAAATTAATATCAACTTAAAATTTGATATCAACGAAATTCCATTATTCCAAATATAGAATTAAATATGTAAATTTTTTAAACTATAAGAATATGAAAGATAATATCTTTGTTGTTAATAATAGTAATAATTCTGTATTAAAAAATATTACTAGATAAATTTACTTTCTAAAACAGTGAGATAAATCTGGCAGATACCACTGAATCAATCAATCAACGTTAACTTTAGCAATAACGAGACACAGTGACATCATGGGCCTCCTGATGAGATGCGCTAGGCAAAACACCCTGAGAGTTTTGTAGCATTCCTGCCAGATTGCATAACCCTAATCTAGTCATAAGAGAACAACTAGACACACCTGAATTGAGAGACCTACAAAACAACTGGCCTGTTCTTTTAACAAATGTCAATAACATGAACAAGACAGAAAGGCTGAGAAACGATTGCAATTTAATGAAGACTAAAGAAACAGGCCAGGCTAGGCACGGTGGCCCACACCTGTAATCCCAGCACTTTGGGAGGCCGAGGCTGGAGGATCACCTGAGTTCAGGGGTTTGATACCAGCCTGACCAACATGGTGAAACCCCATTTCTACTAAAAATACAAAAATCAGCCAGGCATGGTGGCGCACACCTGTAATCCCAGCTACTCAGGAGGCTGGGGCAGGAGAACCACTTGAACCTGGGAGGTGGGCATTGCAGTGAGCTAAGATTGCACCACTGTACTCCAGCCTGGGTGACAGAGTGAGACTCTGTCTCAAAAAAAAAAAAAAAAAAAAGAAAAGAAAAGAAAGAAAGAAAGAAAAAGGAAAGACGACAAAATGCAATGTATGATCTTGGGTTGGATGATAGATCATTTTTAAAAAGCGTTACTACAAAGAACATTATTGGGATGATTGGTAAAATTTAAATATGGATTATATATTTAGATAATAGAATTGTGTTTCCTAACTACAATTAGTGTACTGTGGTTATAAAGAGAAGGTCTGTGTTCTTAGGAGGCCTATGCACAAGTATTTAGGCATGAAGGGTCACGATATCTGCAATTGACTCTCAGATGGTTATGCAAATAACAATAAGAACATACAGAGACAGGTTCAAAGAGATAAAACAAATACGGCAAGAGCTAACAATTGGTGCATTTGCCTTTCATTTGATTTTTGAGACAGGGTCTTGATCTCATGCCCAGGCTAGAGTGCAATAGCACAAAAAGAGCTCACTACAGCCTTGAACTCCTGGGTCCAAGTGATCTCCTGCCTCAGCCTCCCAAGTAGTTGGGACTCAAGTCACATGCCACCACCTATGGCTAATTAATTTTTTTTTTTTTTTTTGTAGAGATAGGTCCCATTATGTTGCCCAAGCTGGCCTTGAACTCCTGACCTCAAGTGATCCTCCTGCCTCTTCCTCCCAGAATGCCGGGATTATAGGCCTGAACCACTATGTCCAGTAATTGGTGCTTTTGGATGTATTTTTTACCAAATTTTCTGAGGGTTTAAAATTTTGGTTTTTATTTATTATTATTTTTTTCTTTTTTGAGACAGAGTCTTACTCTGTTGCCAGGCTGTGGTGCAGTGGTGTGATCTTGGCTCACTACAACCTCCGCCTCCTGGGTTCAAGTGATCCTCCCGCCTCAGCCTCCCAGGTAGCTGGGATTACAAATGCATGCCACCATGCCAAGCTAATTTTTGTATTTAAGTAAAGACGAGGTTTCACCATCTTGGCTAGGCTGATCTTGAACCCCTGACCTCAGGTGATCCACCTGCCTTGGCCTCCCAAAGTGCTGGGATTACAGGTGTCAGCCAGCATGCCAGCTTAACTTTGCAAATGACCACCACCGCCAAAAACACCAAACAAACTGATTCGAAATGAGCAAAGACAAGAATAGACATATCTCCAAACAAGATGTATGAATGGCCAATAAGCCCGTGAAAAGATGCTCAACATCACCAGGCATTAGAGGATGCAAATCAAAACCACAATAAGATAACACCTCATATCCAGTAGATGGCTACTATTAACACATTTAAAATAGTAAGTGTTGTCAAAGTATATAGAGAAATTAGAATGCTTGTACACTGGTGGTGGGAATGTAAAATGATACAGCTGCCGTGGAAAACAGTATGGTAGTTTCTCAAAAGATTAAAAATAGAATTACCAGCCGGGCGCGGTGGCTCAAGCCTGTAATCCCAGCACTTTGGGAGGCTGAGGCGGGTGGATCACGAGGTCAAGAGATCGAGACCATCCTGGTCAACATGGTGAAACCCCGTCTCTACTAAAAATACAAAAAATTAGCTGGGCATGGTGGCACATGCCTGTAATCCCAGCTACTCAGGAGGCTGAGGCAGGAGAATTGCCTGAATCCAGGAGGCGGAGGTTGCGGTGAGCCGAGATCGCGCCATTGCACTCCAGCCTGGGTAACAAGAGCGAAACTCCGTCTCAAAAAAAAAAAAAAAAAAAAAAAAAAAAAAAAAAAAAAATTACCACATGATCTAGCAATTCCACTTCTGGTTATATACCCAAAAGAATTGTGAACAGGGTCTTGAAGAAATATTTGTCCATACATATTCAAAGCAGCATTATACACAATAGGCAAACATGAAAACAGCATGTGTCCACACACAGTTTAATGGATAAGCAAAATGTGGTACTACATATATGCAAGGATTTTTTTTTTTTTTTTTTTGAGACAGGCTCTTGCCTTGTCACCTGGGCTGGAGTGCAATGGCATGATCACAGCTCACTGCAGTGCCAACCTTCCAGACTCAAGTGATCCTCCCATCTCAGCCTCCCCAGTAACTGGGACAACTGGTACATACCACTATGCCCAGCTAATTTTTGTGTTTTGCAAATGTTGTTTATTTTATTTTTTGTAGAGGTGGGGTTTCACCATGTTGCCTAGGCTAGTCTTGAACTCCTAGGCTTCCCCTGCCTTGGCCTGCCAAAATGCTGGGATTACAAGTGTGAGCCACAGCACCCAGCCTATGCAATGAAATATTATTGAGCCTTAAAAAGGGAGGAATTTCTGACACATGCTATAGTATGAATGAACCTTGAGGATATTATGCAAAGCAAAATAAGCCAGTCATAAAGAGACAATGTATTATTCCATTAATATGACATGTAGAGTAGTCAAATGCTTAGAGATAAAAAGTAGAATGGTGGTTGCCAGAGGCTGAGGGAAAGAGGAATGGGAAGTATTGTTTAATGGGTACAGATTTTCAGTTTTGTGAGATGAAAAGAGTTCTAGAGATTGATGATGTTGATGGTTGCACAATAGTATTAACGTACTACCATTGTAATACATTGAATGTAATACTATTGAACTCTTCACTTAAAAATGGTTAAAAGGGAGATATTATGTATGTGTAGTTTACCAAATAAAATTCTATTTTAATAACTGAAGAAAAGAAAAAAATTTGCACCCATTACAATAATAATTGATTCTAGTTAAGAGTCATCAATGGGGTTAAAATTAGATGGTAAAAGTTTAATGAAAAACAGAATATTTATATAGTTTAAAATTATCTGTTTCCAATATATTTATTAATTAGAAAAGAAAATGTAGTAACTTTACAGTGGAGAAATTAGGAAGTATAAATGTACCAAGTGATCAAAGTAAATACTATCAGCATTAGGACAAAGGGACATGTGCCTCCTGATATGTTGCACTAAGAAGGACACAATATCACTTCTATGTTACTGCTGCCAAAATTTATGCAAAATATGATCTAATTATGAAGGAAACACCAGACAAACCCAAACTGAGGGAAAGCCTATAAAATAACTGGCCTATCCTCTTAAAAAATGTCAAGGGCCAGGCTCAGTGACTTAGCCCTATCGTCCTACCTACTAGAGAGGTTATGGTGAGAGGATCACTTGAGACCAGAAGTCTGAGGCGAGAGCATGCTATGATCACACCTGTGAATCGCTACTGCACTCCAGCCTGGGCATAGCTAGATCTCATCTCTTAAAAAAAAAACAAAAGTTAAGGTCATGAAAGATCAAGAATGACTGAGGAACTCTTTGAAGTTGAAGAAGACGAAAAGCACGTGACAAATGAATCAATTTGTATCTGGTATTTTCTTTTGCTATTTACAGGACATTAGTTTGACATCTGGTGAACTCTGAATAAGAGCTGTCAATGAGATTATAGTATGATATCAATGTAATTTCCTTATTTTGGCAATTGTGTTAAGGCTAGATGAGAGAATGTTCTAGTTTTTTTTTTTTTTTTTTTTTTGGAGACGGAGTTTCGCTCTTGTTACCCAGGCTGGAGTGCAATGGCACGATCTCGGCTCACCTGCAACCTCCACCTCCTGGATTCAAGCAATTCTCCTGCCTCAGCCTCCTGAGTAGCTGGGATTACAGGCACACGCCACCATGCCCAGCTAATTTTTTGTATTTTTAGTAGAGACGGGGTTTCACCTTGTTGACCAGGATGGTCTCGATCTCTCGACCTTGTGATCCACCCGCCTCGGCCTCCCAAAGTGCTGGGATTACAGGCTTGAGCCACCGCACCCGGCTGAAGCATATACTTAAGCATTCGGAGATAAAGAGGTATCAGTGTTTACAACTTATCCTCAATGGTACAGATAAAAATATATGTATGTGTATATATATATATATATATATATATGCATTGATGAGTCTGTGTGTGGGTGCACACATGTGTGAGTGTGTAAAGACAAAGAGACAGGGACAGAGAGTGACAGAGGGAAGGCAAACATGGCAAAATGTTAATATTAAGGAAAATGTGGGTGTATGGGATATGGGAATATAAGGGTATATGGAACTTTTTTGTATTCTTTTTGCAATTTTTATGTAAGGCTAAAAATTACATAAATCAAGATTAAAAGTTAAAATAACAACAAAAGGCAAGTGGAACCCAGCAGCAAATTCTGGAGGTCTGGTGATAATGAACCAGGAAAACGTTCATAGGAAAACAGGATATAGAACTATAGGAATTAAACTTTACCCTAAAAAACCTGGCATCTTCCCAAGCTAACACAAAAGTGGACATAATTACGTTTTCACAAAGTAATTTTTATCCTAATCTCCTATGAAAACAAAATAAAGTGAGCACCAAATCCTGCTTCTTTCGAATCCTTTGTCAGGATATCATTTTTATCTGAGATCACATTTGAATGTGAGTTGTTTAAAATATTCACAAATTAGGTGAATTCCCTGGAACCAGAATGTACAAACTAATACATTTACCTCTACGTGACATCTGGGAAATAAAGGAAAGCTCCATGGCCATATATGGTCAGTTTCCAGTCCTCACAGGAGAGTGAGATTAGAACAAATGCCTCCTTCCATGAAATAGCCAATTGAGCTATTTTCCCACTCAGCCACCTGGACTTCTGTCTGAATTATCACATAGAAAAGTTACCTTGGGGCCAGGTGTGGTGGCTCACAACTGTAATCCCAGCACTGTGGGACGCTGAGGCAGGAGGATCACCTGAGGTCAGGAATTTCTTCTCTGAGACCAGCCTGGCCAACATGGTGAAACCCTGTCTGTACTAAAAATAGAAAAATTAGTTAGGTGTGGTGGCGCACCCTGTAATCCTAGCCACTCGGGAGGCTGAAGCAAGAGAATCACTTGAACCTGGGAGGTAGAGTTTGCAGTGAGACGTGATCGCGCCATCGCACTCTAGCCTGGGTGACAGAGTGAGGCTCTGTCTCAAAAAACAAACAAACAAACAAACAAAAGTTACCGTGGCTTCTTATAGACATGCAACTTCAGACATACTTGTTACATTTTGTCTTTCTGCCTCATCAGGTGACAGCTGTCAAGAAAAGGGGACAAGTCTCAAAAGAGCAATGTTTCTTTTTTTTTTAAGCTGGTATATTACATAATTATGGGTGCTGTTGCTACTGCAGATATCAGACAATTCTTTTTTTCTTCGTTTTTTGAGATGGAGTTTTGCTCTTTTTTCCCAGGCTGGAGTGCAATGGTGCGATCCAGACTCACCACAATCTCCACCTCCGGGGTTCAAGCAATTCTCCTGCCTCAGCCACCCGAGTAGCTGGCACTATAGGCATGTGCCACCACACCTGGCTAATTTTGTATTTTTAGTAGAGATGAGGTTTCTCCATGTTGGTCAGGCTGGTCTTGAACTCCCGACCACAGGTGATCTGCTCACCTTGGCCTCCCAAAGTGCTGGGATTATAGGCATGAGCCACAGCACTTGACCTCAGATGATTCTTAAACATATCACTGAATTCTTAAACAGCTAAGAAGCATGTACATTTTATTAATGTGTATGCAGCATTGGGCTAGGTTCTGTGAGGTCAGGAGAACAAAGCCCATGGGCCTTGCCCCAAAAAGCTTATATCCCTGAAAAACATGCACAACGACTAGAAAAAAAGACCGGATTATTACATACACTTAGAAAATGTCCAGAGCACAATATAAAAGTAAGTATTCCATGATGAATGCGTTTGGAACTACAAATTCTAAAGGAGGGACAGGGACACACTGTCCTAGTAGGAGACACAGCATCAATATCACATCCTACAAGGACTGGACAATGTGAGGCGAGTGCCGGACTATAAATAGCACATGACAGAGAATTTACCGTATATACTGGACTTACTCAGGCCAAGAGATACTGATGAAATAAAGGAGCGCACGCATGCACAGATAGATCATGGGCCTTATGTATAAACAATAGAGCAAATAGCTCTTGTGGGCAGAAATAAAGGGAGAAATGTTTCCTTCCATAGAAGGGCAGGATGGTGCAGCAGAAAGAATAATAGCTTTGGTATCAGACAAACTGGGATTCAAATCCCAACCCTTTGACTACCTGTGTGAAACTGGGCCAGTTATCTGATCTCCGCAAACCTTGTTTTCCCCACATAGGGCTACTAGGTTGTGTAGCTGTTATTAGTATTAAACTGAATGCTACCTTAAGCATCCAGCAGAAGCAGCATTCAACAAGTGATATCTCTTGTTGCTGTTTGTGCATTTCTTTTATTTTTTAGTTTTTAAGAGACAGGGTTTCACCATGTTGGCCAGGTTGGTCTTGAACTGCTGACCTCAGGTGATCCGCCTGTCTCGGCCTCCCAAAGTTCTGGGATTACAAGTGTGAGCCACCACGCCCGACCTGTGTATTTCTTAAAGCATCACACTGTATTATTGTGTCTGTCTCCCCAATAGATTGTGAGCTTCTCAAAGAAAGGATTGTGCCTAATGGTCTTGGCATCTTGAATTTCTAGTATAATATCTGATTCATGGTAGATTCTCAGTAAATGTTGACATAATAAGAATCACAAAAACTGTACATTTAGATAATAACGATGGTTTAATGAATACTCACTCTGTGCCCAGCTAGGAGCATTTAATGAATCACCTTACCTAATCCTCACGACAATCCTTTGATTTTAATTATGAACATCCCATACAAGTGATCAAGGATATTGAAGCTTAGAAACCTGCCCACTCTTATACAGCTGGTAGATGGGGAGCCCTGACCTCAGCCAGGCTGGACTCGGGAAGGCTGTGCTGAACCAGCAAAGTAGAGAACTGCTCTCCTCCTGTGTTCGCCAACCAAAGTCCCATGGGTAGACCAATAGGAGTTTCAGAAGCTGCCTGAGTACCAAAAAGGGAGAGAATTCGTGAGGGGGAAAGAGCATTCCAGGCACAGACCACAGCTTCAGAGACAGCTCTGATGTGTGATGGAGGCTGGGGTGGGGGTTTTCAAAGGATTGGTGGAGGCACAGGCAAAACAAAGACAGACTGAGCTTGGGGTTTCCCTCAACCACAGGCGTGGGGAAGTCGTGGAGCCCATGTCGCATGCAGGTGAACATAGAGAAGAATCTCCATACACAGCTCTCGTAGCAGCTGGAACGGGCACTACTGGGGCCCAGAAGCCCAGAAACAGAACCACAGATGGCACAGAGTCAGAAGTGCTTCTGGGGAGCAGGCTGGGGGCTCACAGTGCTGCATTGCTGGGAGGGAACTGAAGGAAAAACACCGTATTTGACAACAGACTTCCAACAACAGGGGTAAGAGGTAGTAAACAGACGGTGCTTAATACAGTGGTTGTAAGTGGGGTTCTTGAAGCTGGGACACCTAGGGTCACTAACAGGCTTCCAGCTGTGTGATCTTAGCAAAATGATTTAACCTCTCTGGGTCTCTACGCCCCTTCTCTATCAAACAGGGATGGTCTGTTTCCTAGGTTTACTGTGAGTGCAAAATGAATGAATACTTGTGGAACACATGTTATCTCTGATGGCTGTTGAATTTAAAAGAAAAAGACAAGATCTCACGAGATCAAAAGCGTTTTGCTTAGAAGGCATGTTTCCTTGGCTTTTTCTTCCAGTCTTTGCAGGTTCAGAACTCACGCCCTCTAAGTTTTATACAGAACTTGCTGTTTTCTGAAGAATTATTATGAACTAGGTTCAAGGTCTTTAATTGTAGCTGCTGACGGGAAATGGGCAAGTCCTGTTGACCCCTCCAAGTTAATAGGTCTGACATCAAACATATCCAGCTGTCTCCTATCCTCTTCCCTAACGTCAAAAGGCAGTACTAATTTTCCAGTCTTCCGGGCCGGGTGCAAAACCTTGAACTCAATTTTAATTTCATTCCTTCTCCTCTTTGACGTCAAACTTACGATTAGATCTTACTCCTTCTTTTATTGCAATATTTTAGACGTGGTCTTTTAATAACTTACTACCTCCACTCTATTGCCAAATTAATGATCAACAGATTTATTCAGGATACCACTTAAATCGCTTATCTCCCTTTGTTAAGAACTTTCAATAGTTTCTTCTGCGAGCGATAGAGGGAATTCAAATGCCTAGATTTGTGATTTGAAGGCTGTACTTCAACCTGCCCCTCCCCAAATTCTCTGCTGGGGGGATGATGACCTGAATCCACCTGGCTCGGCCCTCCACCCCCCTTCGCCGCTGCCTGATGACATCCCATTCCTTCCAGAAGAACCAGGTGGATTCCCGCCATCCCACCCGAAGCTTTCGCCTCCAGTTTCTCCAGCCCTAAGGTCCTCGATGACTTGGGGCCCTCACCTGACACTGGCTTGTGTTGTACACTGGCGACTTTGCCTCGGAAGGTGGGACACCGCTTCCTGGAGAACCTCCACAGTGCGGGGCACGGGATCAGGCAATCAAAAACAAGCGGAATGAACGGGTGGATGAGCGCAGGAACGTGCTGGTGGCTCGGTCCCTTGGCTCACTCCCAGCTCCCACTCGGTCTTCCAGCCCGGGACCAGCGAATTGGACCCCGGACGCCGCCGAGCGGCGATGGGGTGGGCGCCGTTTCTGAATCCGGAGCGTTTCCACGTCGCGGGCTCTCCACCGCCCAACCCGAACCGGAGGACCACGGTGCGAGTGCGGCGCTCTGCTCCCCATGCCGAGGCGCCGGTTCGGTGCGAGCCGGGCTGGTGTCGGGAATCTCAGGCACCCGCGCCCCAGGCCCCGCGGCGGGTAAGGCGGGAGGTTCGGCGTCGCCCCTCGCCCTCCCCCTCGCGGCCATTGGGCTGCCCCGCGGCGCGCCCGCTGGACGGGGCGGGGCCCTCCCCTTTCCCTTCGGCTCCCCTCCCCTATTTCCCGGGGTGGGAACGCCGGGAGGCGGGAGGCGAGGGGGCTGCCAGGGGCGTCGGGTTACATGCCCGCCTTCCTCTGCTCCGGCCGCGGGACGGGGTTTGCGGGAGCGCAGTTCGGGAACATGTTGGCCGCGAGTAGCTGGAGCCGCGCTGCGTGGACGCGGGCGCTGCTGCTGCCGCTGCTGCTGGCGGGGCCCGGGGGCTGCCTGAGCCGCCAGGAGCTCTTCCCCTTCGGCCCCGCACACGGGGACCTGGAGCTGGAGGACGGGGACGACCTGGTCTCCCCGGCCCTGGAGCTGAGTGGGGCGCTCCGCTTCTACGACAGATCCGACATCAGCTCTGTCTACGTGAGTGCGCTCGGGGAGGGAGGCCGAGGGACTGGAGGGCGCGGCTGGCCGGGGGCGCCCGCGGAGCCGGACGGACGCGGGCGTCGCAGGCGGGGAGCGGGACCTGCTGGCCGCTCAGGCACCGGGCGCGGCTCAGGGTCTCCCGCCTCTGCTGGGTCCGCGGAGGTCTCCCCGACCCGGTCCCTGCCATCCCAAGAGCGGGTCGCGGGGTCCGGGACGGCGCCGGCTCGCAGGGTCTTGGGAGGCTCCGCGTGCGCCCGGCCGTGACCCCGGTACCTTGGGACCCCGCGGAGCTTCCTTTCCGGCTGCTGTAGGCTGCATTGCGGCAGGGCGGGTCGGTCCGCGTTCCTCGGTTGTCCCGACCCTTCGGGGCTAGGACCCGGCCGGGCCCGGGTGGAACCAGGCTTGCGCGCGTAGCCTCCACAGGGCTAGAGCCGGAGCTGGGTTGCAGCCGGCGCGCGGGCCCCGGGACTCCTGTGGCTGCCGGCGGGGGGAAAAAGGGGCCAAACCCCGCTCTCCGCTGGGAGAGTTTCGCCGGCAGCCTCCGGTGTTTGTGTGTGGACTCCGGATGTGTCTTGGCGGTGATGCTGCTTTCCAGTTGGGCTCGTTTCAGAGTTCAGAGTCTAGAGTGGGGAACACAGGGGGCCCAGTGATCCGATTTCCTGTGGCCGGGCATTGTCACCACGGAGGCCCCAAACCAGGAGCGGGGCCAGATGACCTACAGCTCCCTGGAGCCTCTCCAGAACTGGCCGGGCCTGGCGGCGTTGTCAACTTGTTGAAGTCCTTTCGTGCCGCTGCCTTCCTCGGCCGCGCACCATGTGGATTTCATATAAGGCTTGTGTGCATTCCAGGAGTCGGGGAGAGGGGGGCTGGAACTGCACACGCAGCGGCTGCAGCCTGTCCTGCCCGTGAAATGGCTGTGCTCCCAGTCTGGCCTGGGCACACTGAGCCTTAGACAACACTCACTTGGAGCTTGTCGGCTTTGCCTGAAACGAATGGGCTTTGAAAGTCCGAATGCACAAAGAGCCCTCACCCTTGTTGGTTGACTGCCCTGGCCCCTTTGGACAGTCTGGCGAGGTCTATAGACCCCTTTTCAGTATAACGCTTTTATTTTAGCGTTTAGAGAGAGGTGAGATCTTGCTCTGTTGCCCTCGCTGGAGTGCAGTGGCGCGATCTTGGCTCACTGCGGCCTCTAACTCCTTGGCTCAAGCGATCCTGTGGCTTGAGCCAAGGAAGGCAATTATGTTGAAATATTGATCAAAATATTAAAAATCACACATCTTACATAGTATATAAGCTTACTCTTTTTTTTTTTTTTTGAGACAGAGTCTCACTCTATCCCCCAGGCTGAAGTGCAGTGGCGGAGTCTCGGCTCGCTGCAACATCTGTCTCCTGAGTTCAAGTGATTCTTCTGCCTCAGCCTCCTGAGTAGCTGGGATTACAAGCGCCTGCCACCGCCCAGCTGATTTTTGTAATTTAAGTAGAGATGGGGTTTCACCATATTGGCCAGGCTGGCCTTGAACTCCTGACCTCAGGTGATCCACCCACCTCAGCCTCCCAAAGTGCTGGGATTACAAGCGTGTGCCACCATGCCCGGCCCAATATATGCTTACTTTTAGCAACATTAAATAACAAGGTGTAGCAGTGGATCCAAGGGCAGGGCAGGTAATGATTGAATTGAAGATCATGAGCAATATTCCCAGACATGTGCAGCAACTATGATCTGATATGAAAAGATCTGTGACTTCTGTCAGTGACTGCCTTGTTGCCTGCATTCATAGTTAAAGAAAATGCTAAATACCAGTTTGTGGTTATTCTTTCTTTTTTTTAGACAGAGTCTCACTCTGTCGCCCAGGTGGAGTGCAGTGGCACAATCTGGGCTCATTGCAACCGCTACCTCCCGAGTTCAAGTGATTGTCCTGCCTCAGCCTCGCAAGTAGCTGGGACCATAGGTGCACACCACTATGCCTGGCTGAATTTTATGTTTTTAGTAGAAGCGGGATTTCACCATGTTGGCCAGACTAGTCCCTAACTCCTGACCTCAGGTGATTCGCCTGCCTCGGCCTCCCAAAGTGCTGAGATTACAGATGGGAGCCACCTCGCCTGGACAGTTTGTGGTTATTGAAAATAAAAATGAAACTTTTTCTCGCCGGGCGCGGTGGCTCATGCCTGTAATCCCAGCACTTTGGGAGGCTGAGGCGGGAGGATCACTTGAGGTCAGGAGTTTGAGACCAGCCTGACCAATATGGTGAAACCCTGTCTTTGAAAAAAATAAAATAAATAAATAAATAACAAGAAAACTTCTTTTTCTCATGTAAAGACGGAATAAGGACCCTTTTGTTTGTTTGTGTTTTTTTTTGTTTGTTTGTTTATTTGTTTTTGAGACACAGTCTCACTCTGTCACCCAGGCACTTCAGCCTGGGTGAAGTGGCTTGATCGTAGCTCACGGCAACCTCTGCCTCCCGGGTTCAACTGATTCTCGTCCCTCAGTTTCCTGAGTAGTTGGGATTACAGACACTAGCCACCACACCCAGCTAATCTTTGTATTTTTAGTAAAGATGGGGTTTCACCATCTGTGGTCAGGCTGGTCTCAAACTTCTGACCTCAGGTGATCCACCTGCCTAGGGCTCCCAAAGTGCTAGGATTAAAGGATTACAGGCCTGGCCAAGAACACTTTTGTTAAATTGGGACCTGCTCGTCCTCCTTTGCTTGTGACATCAGACTAACTGCATTACATTCTAAAGGTCTGGAAAATATATTCCTACAAAACAATTCCTGTCAAAGACGTTCCTGTCTATTTGGGTTTGATCGACATTTCCATGAGAATGGATCCCTGGGGTCTCTGCGTCTTCTATCTGTCCTGTATGTAGGGTTCCCAGGAAGCTGACTTTGACTATGCTGGAGATTGGGAGACAGGTTATTTCATTAGGGTGGTCCTTAGGTCCATACCTGTGGAAGGGTGGGAAATGAGGCAGGACTGAGCAGAGGGAGAAGCTGAGAGCAGCAAGGTAGTCCCAGCAAAGGTCTTCCGCCAGCCCCTGGGGGAGCTTAGAAGCTGGGACAGCCGTTCAGAGTCATCTCAAGCCTTGAGAGTACTTGGTCCCTGTGCCCTTGCATGGATCAGTGAGTCAGGGAGTCAGTGGATAGGAGCTACCATGGATGAAGGTGTACCCTGGCGTCAGGCAGTCTTTTTCCCTGGAAGCAACCCTCAAAGAGGGCTGACAGTGGAGGGACACATTTCCAGGAGCTGAAGAGGGATCTGGTGACACATCGCAGTGTCCACCACTGTCTACAGCTGTGCAGATGCTCTTTTCACATTGATGGAAGAAGGTGAATTGATATGAAGTGTAGGCACCAGTGGATGGTCTTCACTATTCTAGGCATTAGGAAAATGGAAGAGATATCCACCAAGAAAGAAAATACTTGTTGGTTGTATATATCTCTATATGTTAGAGACTTGCTAGTTTTATATGATTTAATCCTTGAAACAATCCTCCCTTTCTTCGGATGAAGAAATAATAATAGTATCAGTAATTAGTGATATACCCAAGGGCATGCGACCAGTTAAATGCCAAAACTTGAATGGCAACCCAAGTCTGTGTCTGACTCAAAGTGCTTTCAAACATCAAACCCATTGCTATGAGCTGGAGTAGTGAGGGAAGACTTCACAGAGGAGGTAAGACAGGTCCAATTGGAGGAGGTGGACAGAAATGGAGAGGCCATTCCAGATGTACTGCAGGAGCAAATGCATGAGGATAGGGAGAAGTCTGCCATATACTGGGAAAACGATGAGTATGATCTGAAGAAAGCAGGTATTTGTATTGGAATAGGAAGTTTCTGTCGGGATAGGTGGGGGGTGGGAGGGAGGGCAAAAGATAGGATGCATCAGTTAGCTTTTGCTGTGTAACAAACAACCTTGACAGGGTGCAGTGACTCACACCTATAATCCCAGCACTTTGGGAAGCCAGAGTGGGAAGACTGCTTGAGACCAAGAGTTCGAGACCAGCCTTGGTGACACAGTGAGACCCTGTCTCTATAAAAAAAAAAAAAAAAAAAAATGTGTTTTAAAGAAAGCAACCTCAAAAACCTGTGGCATGTAATATTAAGCGTTTATTGCTCACATATCTGCAATCAGCTGGTAGTGGGCTGATGTAGGGTGGCCTTGATGGGGTATTTGGGATGATTTTGTTCTGCTCCACAGGTCTTTCATCCTCCAAGCCCATTTTGGCTAATATGGTAGCCACTAGCCCTGTGTAGGTATCTAAATTTATATTACAATTAAACACTGTGAAAATTTCAGGCTTTCAGTCACACGAGCCGTATTCCAAGTGCTCAGTACCCTCCTGGGGCTAGTTGTTGTATTGGACGATGCTCCTACAGAACATTTCTAAATGTTTGCTAAAAATGCTGTTGGACAGCACTGCTTTCGAGGGCCAGCTTAGGCTTGTCCTTTTCATGGGGATGTCAGAGGCACAGCTGAACAGGAGGAAATACCTGTGCTTTCTCAAGCCTCTTCTTGGGTCATGTGTGCTAGTACCTCATGGACTACAGCAAGTCATATGGCCAAGCCCAAGGTCAATGGGTGAAGCAGGTCACCCCATTCTTGGTGGCAACAGGCATGGGTGCTGGCAAAGGGGATGAACTGGGACCAAAAGATGCAATATACTACTTTGAGGGTCATGAAAGATGCTTAGAAGGTCTCTGGTGGGTGGGTTAAGCCATCTGTAGCTGGTCACAAGACTTGCCCTGAATTCTTTCTTGCACAAGATCCAAGAACACTTTCTGGGGGTTTGGATGGGGACCCCTTTCTGGTAACTCATAGATTGCCCCTAAGCTTTATTTACTAATCCTTTTGTTTCTATTTCCACTTCATGCCAGTCATTTCTTCCATGGGGTTAATGGGAATCACTTGTAATTTGGACTTGGAGTTTTGTTCTGGCACTTCTAATGTTTGATCTTAGGCAAGTTATAGGGACTGAAACTCATTTTTTTCTCAAAGAATGAAAATGATATTAATATTTGCTAGGTTTAACGATGTAACTAAAGTAAAAACACTTTGTAAACTCTAAAGTGCCTTGCAAAGGGATTAGGCTCCAGGTCCACTTGTGGACTCTGGACTGAAATTAATCAGTCTCTACCTTGATTGTGTCCCAGACTTGCCTATTTTCGAAACTTCCTTTTTGTGCTTTCCCTTTTTTTGGACCCTTTTCGTTTTCCAGCTTTTTCTAGCTGCCCTGTCATTAACTTTGAAGCCATCCCAAGAAACATTGCAACTTGCATGACTTTTGCCCCCAGTGTCTGTAAACTAGGCAGCCAAGTGTAACAGAAAGAGCCCGGGTTTGTGGACTCCAGCAGATGTGGGTTCCGATCTTGGTTCCATCACTTGCTGGCTGTGTAACATTAAGTTAAATTAAAATCTCTTGTCATTTTCTCGTCTATTTCATGTATTCGAAAAGAGGGATGGTTGTACTAAATGCCTGTTGTGTGAAATTTTGAAAGATGAAAACAGCCTTATTAAAGGACCTCAGCATCAGGTGACAGTCGGTGCTTGCTGCTTTTCCACTCTTTATGTTAAATTATTTTAAGTTCCCGCTGCCTCCCACCCATGGAGT